GACTCTCAACGTACCCATGGCTTGCATATTCGATCTTTACAAGAAGTTGAAAGGGTCTTCAAGCCCTCACTGAATTAACCTATGTGCCAGTCGAGTGCATACATGTATATGATTATGTGTCGGTACTAAAATTTACAATGTAGGGTAAGCAGCAGCATTTGGCCCTGTACACAGGTTTTCCATCGTCCACCACACCACAACTGCGCTCCGACTCAGTCTCCAGCGATGGTGGTGTGCTGTGGCAACGTGTCGAGGCCGGCTGGAGAGCACAGTTGTGGTGTGGTCGATGATGGAAAAATATTATTATGTCCGTAGTGTGTTTTACAAGCATGCGATTCCACTAACACAATCGGATTGTCGTTATTTTACAAGTGTCAACCGCACATCTGATTCCATAATATTTTGGCTGTTCCATTTTGGCTCAACCGGAACCCCCCTGTAGAGATCTCTGGATCCGCCCCTGTACCTAACTAGGATTCTATGCGTATGCATCTGGACACTCTCGCGATTCCCGTCTCTGTACTGCCTTCTTTGTACCAACGCATATCCTTGTAGTTTTATTAGTTTCCTTTGTCTTTTGTCCTTGTTCATGCAAGATAACAGAACAACATAACATGGTGTCAGAATAATTCGAAATAGTTTCATTTTAGTAGCCTGTTGGTAGTTTTGCGTCGGGATCAGTCATGCCCAAGACGATGCCCAAGGTGCAGAGCTCGGACGCGGCCTCCGCTACTAGCTCTGAGCTTTCGACTTCCGACGTAATGGCTCAACTGTTGACAACTCTGCAGCAACAACAGCAAGCCCATGAACTAAACACCGCTGCCCAGTCTGCCTCCACTGCGCAGCTTCTGCAGCAGATCACGGCAACGGTCTCGGGCCTGGTTCAAGCCGCACCAGCGCAGGCTCCGGCGCGCACGCCGCCGCTGCCGAATTTTCGTTCCCTGAACGATTCAGACGATGCTGACGCCTGGTTCACCATGGCCGACCGTGTCCTCACTGGTCATGGGATCGCACCAAATCGCTTCGCGCTAGCCATAGCTCCTCACCTCACTGGCAAGGCTTTGGCAGCATACAACGCGATGTCAGCAAACGACACCACGGACTTTGCTCTAGTCCGTACTGCCGTGCTTTGCCGGTTCCATGTCGATGCGAAGCACTATAGGAAAAAGTTTCGTTCCGACACTCTAGGTGAGAGTACCTCGTACGTGGATCTGGCTACGCGTCTGACCGATATTTTCAATAAATGGATGGCTGCTGAGAATGCTGGCGATGTCGCTGCTGTACGCGACGTTCTGGTACGAGAGCAGCTCATCGCTACATTGTCACAGGACGCACGTACCTTTGTGTTGCAGCACGAGGATAAATCTGCCTTGGACACAGCCAAGCTAGTGGATACCTACGTCAGTGCTCGCCCTCCACCAGTCCAAGGCGTCTCCGCAGTTTCTTCTGGGTATGGCAAACCCCGATCTGCCCAACCAGCCCGTACCTGTGACTTCTGTGGTGGTCCACATCACGCACATAACAGGTATAGTAAAACCTGCCCTAACCGGACGCCCGTGGTGCAGCTGGAACTGTCCTGATATAACAGGGCTGTGCTTTGTATCACAATGTCAGTGTGGCTACAGGCCTGCTCTTTTTCACAGTTAAGCAGAACACAACAAGCGCGTAGCACTGCTGTTGGAGGCGGTCCGGCCGGGGGTCTCTCCTGGGAAAAATTTGAAATTAGGGTTCAACATCCTGCATTCTGGCATTGTGTTAAAAAGAGTGATCTGGCCAAAGCCAGACCGGCCGGTCCAGCTGCTACTCCCCTGCACAAGCAGCCCCCCCCCCTCTCCCATCAATTTCTATTTAGCATTAGTACTAGGTCACATGCGAGATCTTTTAATTCTCATTTTGCTCTCTCACCTGTGCCTATGCATGCAGGTACCTGAGCCAGGGAGAGAGTTGCCTGAGGAAGAGACGCAAGGAATGCCAGGACGCTTTCAATGATCTGGTGAACGCCATGGACTTGGTGGGCTTCACCGAAGAGGTAGGCACACACCGTCTGAACATTACATTGCTGTCTCTTGAATTCATCATACGTGGATGCCATTACGCTATGATCTACTGGAACACTGACCAGGTCGTGTGTATGTCGAATGACTAAAGTACCTCCTTCAATATGCGGAGGCTCCACTGGGTGGGTTCGATTATGCCCGAGAATCGATTCACGAATCCATTCATGAATCACCCCTGGTTATTCACATCATCCCATGTGAATAGGGTGGATGGATTCCGAATCGATTCCTGGGTTCATAACATGAAATCGAACGGCGAGATTCCATTCATGGACGAACCGAGTGCTGAATCGAATGCACTCACTGCAGCCAATTAATGTTGTTTCAATCTCCTTCTTCACCACCACGGTTTTACACTGCAGTCGTCGTAAATATCTCTTCACAATATATTTTATACTCCCTGATGAATCCACAAGGCCGAAAAATTGGAGAGATATCTCAGACAATTTGAGTGTAAGACGGTGGGGGTGAAGAAGGAGGTTGAGACATGACTACAGCACTGCTCCCCATGAAATCCTATCAAGCGAATGAATGTCACGCCGCGTGCTGCAAAGCCCTAGACCTTTGAACACCGGGACGTAAACTGGCGCAGGGCGCAAACTAACTTGATTCACGCGACCGGATTTCATCGAGCAGCACTCTACGTGTATATTGGCTGGATAGAGTGTATTTGTGAGATCTCACAGACTTTCAATGAATTGATTTTAATTCTTTATACTTCAGACAAAAATATGCTATAGTGGCTGTGAGATGGTTCCCTGCCCTCATGCATATCGTATTGCTATCGTTATACCCCCAATGCGTATTTTGAGCCGCTATTGCTGTAATTATAAGATTAATGTGGTGCCTCAGCCTATGACTCGATTAACATCTCAGCCCTACCATACTGGCACGTAAAACATGACTGTGCTTTCTCGTGCGCCGTGTGTGTGTGTGTGTGTGTGTGTGTGTGTGTGTGTGTGTGTGTGTGCATGTGTGCATGTTTGCCGGGAACGTGTGTGCACACATACCCGCACCAATGCTTTCTATCTTCAGAATCAGAATAACATGTTTCAAGTGATGTCCATTGTCCTGAATATGGGCAACATTGAGTTCAACGAAGGTGCCAACGACAGCTCCAGTGTGAAGACGTTTGACAGCCTGAAAACCACAGCGGTAAGGACGGGACCGGGGGAAGGAGTTATTGATTGGTCCCGCCATACCCTAGCCTTTCCTACTTTGTGTATGACGTGGACGGTAAACGCATGACCTCCTCAGCAGCAAACACACGCCGCCCGCCAAAAAGGTGGTACGGCCATGGCGTGACCAACCGGAGCAGTTCCGCCGGGTCTGAAGGGAGGGGGGGGGGGGGGACTCATCCGCGATGTACAGTATTTCCTGGAGTATAGACTGCACTTTGAAAACCCGTAATTGACGACCGAAAACGTCCGTGCGGCTTATGCTATGATGATCAAATTGACGGTGACGAATGGGGTAGATGTCTATATACCGTAGCTCAGTGGTTAGAGCGTCGCTGGCCTCAAGCAAAGGGCCCTGGTTTGAATCCTGGTGGTGACAGTCTATTTTTTCTTCAGTCTTTTCCCGTTTGTGTCTTGCCCTCAAACCAGTGAATGTCTCTATTTCGTGACAAAAATCTGGGTGCCGCTTTTGCTCCAGTCTGGCGCATGCTCCGGAAAATGCGGTAACCATTCAGGAATCTGTACAGCTTGGCGGTGGAGTCTGTCAGTCGCAAGAGACCATCATTGCTTTCGGAATCAATCTCTTCTAAAACTCACATGACACAAACAGGGTTGCCTCTCTTATGGCCTAATAGGATTGAACAGAGGGGCTGGGAGGATGGTCCTTGGTGGGGATTGGGCAGCTGTAGCCCCTTTTGGGAAAGGAGTGGCTTGATTTGTTTAGATTACACAACCCTACCTCCCCCAACTCCCCCTTACTCTGTCAGAGAAACGACTGTGCATTCACTGACAATAGAATATGGATAAGAAGAAGTCTTGTTATTGGGAACAAATATCACCGATCTCTTGTTGTTTGTTCTGAGGAGTTTTGAGGTTTCCTACTCCCCTTCCCACCCACAAACACTACTGATACCTTGATTACATAGTACTCCTGCTAGGTTATTGACATTCTACATATGTGTCACTGAATGTCTTGTTCATACCAGGAACTTGTCGGCATTGAGCCAAAGGTCTTGGAAAGTTTCCTGACAACGCACGAGACAATGACGGCCGGTGAGGTGATCACCATCAACCTGACCAAGCAGAAAGCAGAGGGTAAGAGAGAGAGAGAGAGAGAGAGAGAGAGAGAGAGAGAGAGAGAGAGAGAGAGAGAGAGAGACAGAGTGTGAGAGAGAGAGAGAGAGACAGAGTGAGAGAGAGTGAGAGAGAGAGAGAGCTATAGCAGGGTGGTCATGCCATGTGTATACAGTGTGGAAGAAATAAATCAGTTTGCTGGGCAAATGTCTAGTATTAAAAAAGAGAGGACCATATGTTTACAAGTAATCCGTTTTGTCCAGCACTAACGATTATAAGCAGGATACTGTCGAGGCCAAAAGGTGCAACAACTTGTCAACTTATGGTCCTCTCTTTTTTTAATTTTAATCCTTGGGTCTCCATCCGAGTTTAAAATGTCTAGTAGTTACGTATATACCCGCATGCCGCAAAGCATCTTCCTCACTGACGTCATCTATCACAAATTTTACTTGTGTTGCAGATGCCCGGGATGCCATGGCCAAGGCACTGTATGGTCGCGTGTTCAGCTGGATCATCAACCGTGTCAACAGCCTGCTGGCCCCGCAGGATGACAGTCAGCGCGGTGACAGTACACAAATCGGTAAGAAATAGCCTTAGCTTTAACAAAATACCTTCACTACGTACCAACACTGTGAACTACAATTGTCACCAGATAGAAATGGCCAATGCTGTACATGGTTGTGTCATGCACTACAACTGATACTTATCATGTGCATAGCTGCATAGTCCCTGCATAGTCGGTGCATAGTCCCTGCATAGTCGGTGCATAGTCGGTGCATAGTCGGTGCATAGTCGGTGCATAGTCGGTGCATAGTCGGTGCATAGTCGCTGCATAGTCGCTGCATAGTCGCTGCATAGTCGCTGCATAGTCGCTGCATAGTCGCTGCATAGTCGCTGCATAGTCGGTGCATAGTCGGTGCATAGTCGGTGCATAGTCGGTGCATAGTCGGTGCATAGTCGGTGCATAGTCGGTGCATTGTCGGTGCATTGTCGGTGCGTAGTCGGTGCGCAGTCGGTGCGTAGTCGGTGCGTAGTCGGTGCGTAGTCGGTGCGTAGTCGGTGCGTAGCGGCGTAGTCGGTGCATAGTCGGTGCATAGTCGGTGCATAGTCGGTGCATAGTCGGTGCATAGTCGGTGCATAGTCGGTGCATAGTCGGTGCATAGTCGGTGCATAGTCGGTGCATAGTCGGTGCATAGTCGGTGCATAGTCGGTGCATAGTCGGTGCATAGTCGGTGCATAGTCGGTGCATAGTCGGTGCATATTCGGTGCATATTCGGTGCATAGTCAGTGCATAGTCAGTGCATAGTCAGTGCATAGTCAGTGCATAGTCCGTGCATAGTCCGTGCATAGTCCGTGCATAGTCGGTGCATAGTCGGTGCATAGTCGGTGCATAGTCGGTGCATAGTCGGTGCATAGTCGGTGCATAGTCGGTGCATAGTCGGTGCATAGTCGGTGCATAGTCGGTGCATAGTCGGTGCATAGTCGGTGCATAGTCGGTGCATAGTCGGTGCATAGTCGGTGCATAGTCGGTGCATAGTCCGTGCATAGTCGGTGCATAGTCGGTGCATAGTCAGTGCATAGTCAGTGCATAGTCGGTGCATAGTCAGTGCATAGTCCATAGTCAGTGCATAGTCAGTGCATAGTCGGTGCATAGTCAGTGCATAGTCAGTGCATAGTCAGTGCATAGTCAGTGCATAGTCGGTGCATAGTCGGTGCATAGTCAGTGCATAGTCAGTGCATAGTCAGTGCATAGTCAGTGCATAGTCAGTGCATAGTCAGTGCATAGTCGGTGCATAGTCGGTGCATAGTCGGTGCATAGTCGGTGCATAGTCGGTGCATAGTCGGTGCATAGTCGGTGCATAGTCGGTGCATAGTCGGTGCATAGTCGGTGCATAGTCGGTGCATAGTCGGTGCATAGTCGGTGCATAGTCGGTGCATAGTCGGTGCATAGTCGGTGCATAGTCGGTGCATAGTCGGTGCATAGTCGGTGCATATTCGGTGCATAGTCAGTGCATAGTCAGTGCATAGTCAGTGCATAGTCAGTGCATAGTCAGTGCATAGTCCGTGCATAGTCCGTGCATAGTCCGTGCATAGTCCGTGCATAGTCCGTGCATAGTCGGTGCATAGTCGGTGCATAGTCGGTGCATAGTCGGTGCATAGTCGGTGCATAGTCGGTGCATAGTCGGTGCATAGTCGGTGCATAGTCGGTGCATAGTCGGTGCATAGTCGGTGCATAGTCGGTGCATAGTCGGTGCATAGTCGGTGCATAGTCGGTGCATAGTCGGTGCATAGTCCGTGCATAGTCCGTGCATAGTCGGTGCATAGTCGGTGCATAGTCAGTGCATAGTCAGTGCATAGTCAGTGCATAGTCAGTGCATAGTCCATAGTCAGTGCATAGTCAGTGCATAGTCGGTGCATAGTCAGTGCATAGTCAGTGCATAGTCAGTGCATAGTCAGTGCATAGTCAGTGCATAGTCGGTGCATAGTCGGTGCATAGTCAGTGCATAGTCAGTGCATAGTCAGTGCATAGTCAGTGCATAGTCAGTGCATAGTCAGTGCATAGTCAGTGCATAGTCAGTGCATAGTCGGTGCATAGTCGGTGCAGAGTCGGTGCATAGTCGGTGCAGAGTCGGTGCATAGTCGGTGCATAGTCGGTGCATAGTCAGTGCATAGTCGGTGCATAGTCGTTGCATATTCGGTGCATAGTCGGTGCATAGTCAGTGCATAGTCAGTGCATAGTCGGTGCATAGTCGGTGCATAGTCGGTGCATAGTCGGTGCATAGTCGGTGCATAGTCGGTGCATAGTCGGTGCATAGTCCGTGCATAGTCGGTGCATAGTCGGTGCATAGTGGGTGCATAGTCGGTGCATAGTCGGTGCATAGTCGGTGCATAGTCGGTGCATAGTCGGTGCATAGTCAGTGCATAGTCAGTGCATAGTCAGTGCATAGTCAGTGCATAGTCCGTGCATAGTCGGTGCACAGTCGGTGCAGAGTCGGTGCATAGTCGGTGCATAGTCGGTGCATAGTCGGTGCATAGTCGGTGCATAGTCGGTGCATAGTCGGTGCATAGTCGGTGCATAGTCGGTGCATAGTCAGTGCATAGTCAGTGCATAGTCCATAGTCAGTGCATAGTCAGTGCATAGTCGGTGCATAGTCAGTGCATAGTCAGTGCATAGTCAGTGCATAGTCGGTGCATAGTCGGTGCATAGTCAGTGCATAGTCAGTGCATAGTCAGTGCATAGTCAGTGCATAGTCAGTGCATAGTCAGTGCATAGTCAGTGCATAGTCAGTGCATAGTCGGTGCATAGTCGGTGCATAGTCGGTGCATAGTCGGTGCATAGTCGGTGCATAGTCAGTGCATAGTCGGTGCATAGTCGTTGCATATTCGGTGCATAGTCGGTGCATAGTCGGTGCATAGTCGGTGCATAGTCGGTGCATAGTCGGTGCATAGTCGGTGCATAGTCGGTGCATAGTCGGTGCATAGTCGGTGCATAGTCGGTGCATAGTCGGTGCATAGTCGGTGCATAGTCGGTGCATAGTCGGTGCATAGTCGGTGCATAGTCGGTGCATAGTCGGTGCATAATCGGTGCATAGTCGGTGCATAGTCGGTGCATAGTCGGTGCATAGTCGGTGCATAGTCGGTGCATAGTCGGTGCATAGTCGGTGCATAGTCGGTGCATAGTCGGTGCATAGTCGGTGCATAGTCGGTGCATAGTCCGTGCACAGTCGGTGCACAGTCGGTGCACAGTCGGTGCACAGTCGGTGCACAGTCGGTGCACAGTCGGTGCACAGTCGGTGCACAGTCGGTGCACAGTCGGTGCACAGTCGGTGCACAGTCGGTGCACAGTCGGTGCACAGTCGGTGCACAGTCGGTGCACAGTCGGTGCACAGTCGGTGCACAGTCGGTGCACAGTCGGTGCACAGTCGGTGCACAGTCGGTGCACAGTCGGTGCACAGTCGGTGCACAGTCGGTGCACAGTCGGTGCACAGTCGGTGCACAGTCGGTGCACAGTCGGTGCACAGTCGGTGCACAGTCGGTGCACAGTCGGTGCACAGTCGGTGCACAGTCGGTGCACAGTCGGTGCACAGTCGGTGCACAGTCGGTGCACAGTCGGTGCACAGTCGGTGCACAGTCGGTGCACAGTCGGTGCACAGTCGGTGCACAGTCGGTGCACAGTCGGTGCACAGTCGGTGCACAGTCGGTGCACAGTCGGTGCACAGTCGGTGCACAGGCGGTGCACAGTCGGTGCACAGTCGGTGCACAGTCGGTGCACAGTCGGTGCACAGTCGGTGCACAGTCGGTGCACAGTCGGTGCACAGTCGGTGCACAGTCGGTGCACAGTCGGTGCACAGTCGGTGCACAGTCGGTGCACAGTCGGTGCACAGTCGGTGCACAGTCGGTGCACAGTCGGTGCACAGTCGGTGCACAGTCGGTGCACAGTCGGTGCACAGTCGGTGCACAGTCGGTGCACAGTCGGTGCACAGTCGGTGCACAGTCGGTGCACAGTCGGTGCACAGTCGGTGCACAGTCGGTGCACAGTCGGTGCACAGTCGGTGCACAGTCGGTGCACAGTCGGTGCACAGTCGGTGCACAGTCGGTGCACAGTCGGTGCACAGTCGGTGCACAGTCGGTGCACAGTCGGTGCACAGTCGGTGCACAGTCGGTGCACAGTCGGTGCACAGTCGGTGCACAGTCGGTGCACAGTCGGTGCATAGACGGTGCATAGTCGGTGCATAGTCCGTGCATAGTCAGTGCATAGTCAGTGCATAGTCAGTGCATAGTCAGTGGTGCATAGTCAGTGTATAGTCTGTGCATAGTCGGTGCATAGTCGGTGCATAGTCGGTGCATAGTCGGTGCATAGTCGGTGCATACTCGGTGCATAGTCGGTGCATAGTCGGTGCATAGTCGGTGCATAGTCCGTGCATAGTCCGTGCATAGTCCGTGCATAGTCCGTGCATAGTCTGTGCATAGTCGGTGCATAGTCGGTGCATAGTCGGTGCATAGTCCGTGCATAGTCCGTGCATAGTCGGTGCATAGTCCGTGCATAGTCCGTGCATAGTCGGTGCATAGTCGGTGCATAGTCGGTGCATAGTCGGTGCATAGTCGGTGCATAGTCGGTGCATAGTCGGTGCATAGTCAGTGCAGTGCTGACACACTACTGACAGTATGCATGCTACCAGCTGACACCGCTGTGTCCGCATACCATACCACTGTATCGGCATTGGCGGGATTGGTTTGGCGACGACTGTAGTTGCATTTAAACTATACCCAGCCAGCTCTTCAGAGCATTTACCACTATATGATGGGTATGTCATGCTGTTTCTCAATCTTTTCTATCCAACTTGCACTATGTTGGGGTTATTTTGTTTGCCATATTTGCCATGTGCCACCCTGCTTCAAGGTTGTTGATATCATTAGAGCCGAGAGATTATCTGCAGCAAGTAATTCCGATTCCCTAAATCGGGATTCACAGAAGCTTTTTTGTGATGCGACACGCGATGCGACAGGCGCGAAACCGGGAAAACCCCAAATTGCAGCCATGTCGCGGCCCACGCAACTGCCGCAACTGGGCCATCGCAGAAGTTGAGCTTGGCTCAACTTTTGCGATGCGATGCGATGCGACAAGCAATTTGGTGTACGATTTTGACCTTTTCTACAGCAAAGTTGTACAAAGGTGCAAGAGTTGCCTATAAATTTTTACAAGTTGTGTCAAACCGCGCGAATATCATGGTGACGTACCCAAATCAGCAAAACTTTGTCGCATCGCTGACTTCTTCTGTGAATGGTATTTCGCGAGTTCGCATCGCACGCATCCATCGCAGATCGCGTCGCATCGCGTGTCGCATCGCAAAAAAGCTTCTGTGAATCCCGCTTAACTCGCTTGTGCATGCTCGTTTTCTGGATGCAGGTATTCTGGACATCTTTGGATTTGAGCACTTTGAGAAGAACAGCTTCGAGCAGTGCTGTATCAACGTGGCCAACGAGCAACTTCAGTTCTTCTTCAACGAAGTAAGTGGTGAATGTGTGTACTGTACACGGGCCGTAACCTGCCCATATCCGGACGCCCTTGTGCAGCGGAAACAATCCAGACATGACAGGGTTCTGCTTGATCCAGGGATGCATGTTCCATCCACACTAGCACTTTGGTGTATGACAATTTGTCCGGTCAATACAGGATACAGGATTCCCCTTGGTACAGGGTCCGACAAACACGGGTTTTACTGTATTTGCGAGCAAGTGCACTATTCACTACTCACTGATCGTACAGCTTGGTCTAACTGGCAAGGTACGATCAGCCTGGTTGGATTTTTTTTTTCATTGCTGCCATGTCAGGCAGATTAACTGCAGCAGATAAAGCATGAGTTCCATTGTGGGAATCGTGGTGAGAGGTGGCCAGAAGGGACAGTTCAACATTTTCTTCAGACTTCGAAAGTCCCGTGTATTATGTGCACACATGCATTGCGTCACGATATGTACTGTGTGCATATATTTGTCTATGTCCACAGCACATCTTCAAATGGGAACAGGAGGAGTATCGCAAGGAAGGTATTGACTTCAAGGAGATTGTCTACCTGGACAACAAGCCACTGCTGGTGAGCCCTCCCTAAACCTTAACAGTGCAGAGACGAGTGTAGGCTTTTGAACAGAGAATGGTGTTTGCCCGGGCTGATGCAGAAGGTTCAGTGCTCTCCACACATACACATACAGAGGACCAGCGGAAGCAGTTATTGATTGGTCTGGCCATACCCTTGTCTTTCATACCTTGTCTTTCATACCCTTGTCTTTCATACTCTTGTCTCTTATACTTTGTGTATGATATGTAGGGTAGACACATGACCTCCTCAGCAGTAAATACATGTTGGAGGTGGCCAAATAGTTGGTCCGGCCATGTCCTGACCAACCGGACAGGTTCCGCCGGGCACGATACACATATCACCAGACTTGGACCTGCTGAAGTCTTGAAAATAATATATGGCACCAGTTGAGAAAACTGATCGTGAAACCTGTTCATGGAGAAGGGGGGGGGGGGTGTAGAACCACCCTACTCCTGGTTGGCTACATTCTACTGTCTTTCGTTTAGTATGAACCTCATGTGCTTGTCAGTCATATCGAACTTTGGTTGGGAAATTCAGAAAATTGCAACCAATTCGGTTGATGATTTGGCAATCTGGAACCACCCTCCACTGCATTGAACGGCCGTGATGTGAGACTCTCTCCGCAATTTCTATCATTCATGCAGAACATTGCCAGCCACTGGATATGCAACTCTGTTGTTGTTTGCTGTGTTGTACGGGAGGAGCACAAAGACTCGAAAAAACCCAGTCAATTCTGTATGGTAAATGGGCAATCTGGACTGAGCCACCCTCAACTGCATTGAAAGGCCATGATGTGTGACTCTCTCCTCATGATTTGTTATATTCCATGCAGAGCCTGTTCTTGGAGAAGCCCATCGGTCTGTTCAGCTTGCTCGACGAGGAGTCACGATTTCCCAAGGTATGCTGCCCGTTTTAAATTAATGTGGTGGTAAAAACACGCCTGGCAATATGGCGGCAAATGCACGCCTGCGCACACACGCCTGCGCACACACGCCTGCGCACACACGCCTGCGCACACACGCCTGCACACACACACACACCTGCGCACACACGCCTGCGCACACACACCTGCGCACACACGCCTGCACACACACGCCTGCGCACACACGCCTGCACACACACGCCTGCACACGCACGCCTGCGCGCACACGCCTGCGCGCACAAGCCTGCGCACACACGCCTGCGCACATACGCCTGCGCACAAACGCCTGGGCACACACGCCTGCACACACACACACACCTGCACACACACGCATGCGCACACACGCCTGCGCACACACGCCTGCGCACACACGCCTGCGCACACACGCTTGCGCACACAAGCCTGCGCACACACGCCTGCGCACACACGCTCTTTTTCAAAGTTACTCTGGCGCAGAGCTCTCCTTCTCACCATCACCACCATCAGTTCTCGCCTGGCGCCTAGTCGATGCATAGTTAGTGGTGACTGACGTAGCAGGCTGGTACAGTGCTGGCAGCTGAAATCCGACCCCTGAGCGGTGCGCTCACATCGCAAAGACCCAACACGGGATGGTAAAACTACGAAACAGAGACCGCTATAATGTGGGCTAAGGGCTAATGGGGGTCGGATTTCA